CGTATGCCTCGTATACATTCAACAAAAAAAGTGAAAACAGTTTCTCACAATTTAATTATCAAGTTTCACAGTAATGGATAGAAGATGATGTGTGCTTTTGAAATATGACATTCGCAAAATGTTTACATTATTATGTATGGTGATCACACATTTACAAACCATCTGAGTTTTTGATGAAATTCCATAACCAAAGTTGTTTATAGTGTTGTTTATTCAGGCTTGTTGCAAAAGAGTTTTTTAAAGACGCCACAATCAGATACATGTTTTCAAATCCTGTCGAATACCCTAGTTGTTATTAAACGTTACTTCTATTTTTGTGTACTTTTTTTTTCAAAATACTCCGTTACGAAATTTCATAAGATGAAAACTATTTATCATATTTTAAAACTTATTCATGTTACTCTACGCTAAAAAAGTTTTTGTATTACCTTTTTATGCTCGTGTTACCATGAATTTTCAACCACTTTTACAATTACATTTTATATAGTCTTTCATCTTTTCGTATATTAGTCTTCCAACAATCTATTAATTTTAAAAATTTTAGATCAGATATTTGCTATTTTCATATAAAACTAAGTTTTTATTTTTATAATCGTTCTTTCTGGCGCTGAAAGAATTCGGTACTCTTGAGAAAAAAGAAGCCAACAGTATTGAGCGAAACAATGAAACAAAAAGATAGAAAACATAAACAATTAGCTCGTTGCAGAATGTCATTATTTCAATTGAAAGAATTATGTTTATGTCAATACGTTAATCTTCAGAAGTTTTGAGAGCGCCCTGCAATGTTATGATTACAAAAAATTATTGATAATTATTAAATGTATGCAGTCATATGTCTGGTGAGAGTAGAAATACAAATGAGTTCTTGATGATCGATATTGAAGTCAAGAAAATACAGCATATTTTATTATATCTCATGGTATTTGTGTGTGGGCTGCTACTATTGTTCATTCTTTAAAACTTAAGATACTACTGTGTACATCTTCAAGGAGCAAATAATTTGTATTTTTGGATGTTAATATGCAAATATTGAAGTAACAAAAAGTAAGAGAACATACGAAATATGTTGTTCATGTTATGGTAAAAAAATGCTAGCTTACAGTTTTAAAATTGATTAGATAAGTAAAATAAATTATAAATAATTTAGTTTGAAAACAATTAAAATATGTTTTGTGTCATATTTTTATTTGATTTGAAATATGCATTTTGATTATTTTTATTTAAGAATTAATTTAGAGTAAAAGAAAATCATAAGAATGAAAAAATTAAATTCTTTATAATTTTAATAATTTTTAATTTATTTTTGCAATTAATCATTTTTATTCATACACTAATTTTTAAAGTTGTAATGATGAGAAACAGTTTTTTAAAAATTAAAAAGATTTTAAATAGTCCTATTCAAGCTTATCTGGCATCATTTTCTTCTATAATAAAAATGCTTTTATCCATATAAAAATTTTAAAAAATTCTGAATAAAATTCTACTAAATAATATCTATGTATCTTTAGGAAGACATAGAAGTTGATTTCTCGATCATATGATTCTGGGTGTCGAGTGTGATGGAAATGAGAAACTTCTCTCTTCCCGATTCACCCACACCCACACCCTTGCAATAGTGAAAGTTGATTCTAGACTCAAGAATCTATGTTACTGTCTAAAGATAGAAGGTGTATCGGAACATCTCGCAGAGGTAAAACGTGATTTAAAAATGGCTCATTCCATTTTACTGAACATTAATCATGGCTAATGGAAATCTATTAATTTCTCTTCGTTCATTTATTTTATTATACAGTAGCACTTTGACGTTGACCAATGTCTTTGTCAGACACGATAAAATGAATAAAAATAATTACTTCGATTGACTTTTGTCCATATATAAATCATATGGACATTTGTCAAAGTGATGAAAGAAATGAAAGAAAAAGAAAAGGATAATGGAAAAGAGATAGGAGATAGATGAAGAATGAACACTTTTCCACATTGAAGGAGCACAACTATTGTTTCCAATGATTATCAACAACTTTCGTGCACAACTATCGTGTACGATCGTAACTCAGTGGCGTAGCCAGGATTTTTATGGGGCGGGGGGTGCCCAATATACGTCAATTTTTTTTAGTTTTTTCCTAATATACTGAACTGATAGTTAAGAACCTTTTACGAGTTCAGACCCGTGGGGAACCCCAAGCAACTCTTTCGAGCAATAAAAAAAATGTTCACCAAGATTACATTAAACATATTTCTAGAGGTGTTTTTTCTGCTGAATCTGAATATGGTATTTACATTAAGATAAGAAGCGACTTTGGAGTATAAATTGAGCAAATAAGGGTCCAAAAATGGCTGCCCCCGGATTTTTAGCCATTTTCAGCATGTTGTACATTTGGTTTCATACTTTTGATAACATATTCAGAATCAACATAACACACTGCATCGGATGGTGTATATGGCTATTTTGACACCCGGTAATTTTGTTGTACTAAGAGGTCGTAAAAAATGATGAATCATACTGTTCTCTGACATATTTCTAATGGTATAAACAATTTCGATTGTTTTTAAGACTGACTCGACTTGGAATCAATAGAACGAAAAGTTTTGCATATTTGGACATATTTTAGAAAGAAACAGAAAATTCTTCATATATAAATATACTAATGTGAGAAAATAGCTCTCGAGCCTGTATAACGGTAAAATGTCTTTTTCATGTGCAGAACTTAGTTCAATCGAAATACAAGCATGATATTCGTAATGAACGAACAAGACTGCATAAAAATGATTTGCTTCTTAGGATATTTAAAGAAAACAAAATTTCGGTTTTGGGGGGACCACAGGTGGACAAAAACGTGGCTTAGCATTGGCGCAAAACTAAGTTGTAGAAAATACTTTTACTGGCTCCTTGACATCTGTCAGATAGATAAACCTCAAAAAGATTGTGAGCGAAAAGACAATCATTCTCGTACGCATCCTTTAGTTGTTTACTTATCTAAAATGTATGTTAAATGAAACGATACATTATACCTTTGCGATATTACATTTAATTTGCAACAGAGTTATTGACTGAATATCTTTCAAACCTTTTTTCTTTAATTACAATATTTCAGACAAAAACAAAAACTGTAAGCAAGAAAAGTTCATATCAAATACATATCCTCAGGTTGGTTTTATTAAGCATAAATTTACTAAAAATATTATTTTTAAAATAATATTTGTGTCCTATTTAGGTAAGTATTAGTTTTACCGAAATCAATTAGTGAACCTTCCCTAAAATATGAAGTTCTCAGGTTACAAGTGGCCCTTGACTAAAACTTTAATAATACCAACTCTATGGGGGGTGTCCGGGCACCTCGGGCACCACCTGGCTACACCTCTGTCGTAACTTAGTCACGCGTTGAGATGCCCATCTTAATCAAGACTTACTTTTGAATCCAACATCAAATCCTATTTTCAGAATCAATTAAAAAAGTAAGCCATATTTGTCTTATTTAGATTTCTTCCAATATCAAGTTCCATGGTAAGCATTTATTAAAAGGGATTAAATTATATTTCTTTATTTCGATTCATCCTAAATACAGATCCAACCGTAAGTATTAATTTAATTAAACTATATGTTTATATTTGGATTTCTCTCTACAACAAATGTCAGACTAAGTATTTGTTTATTTAAATAAACAAATTTAGCAAAAAATTATTTAAATAAAAAAATAGTTTTTTAAATTTAGGTTTATCCCAACATCGGATCTAATCGTTAGTATTTATTTCAAAATTTACAATGTTCTTTCTATTTAGATATCTCAATTTAGAAAACCTTGTTTGGTTTTTTAAGTAAATACTGGAGATTAGATCTGTCCTTGAGATAAGTCTGAATACAAAAAAATAATTTATTTTTTTTACAAGAAGAGAGGCAAGAGAAACTTGCCTATTCGTCCCCCCCCCCCCCAAACCGTCATTGAGGAGAATATTATGTTACTGAGATGGTAAACAACGATGTACGGTGATTTACACTGTGTGTAGACATGTCATACACGATATGTCGATATATGGCTGTAATTTACATTGTGTACGACCGTACACGATTGTAAATTACGTCGCTTGCGATAATTTACGACTGTCATAATGCTCGACCTGAGTTCATTCTTGCTAGTACCTTCGTCTTTCGGTCCCCTATCTTCTTCTTATGGTTCTTTCGTCCCTTTGACAAATGTTCATATCATTTACAAATGAACAGAAGTCAATCGAAATAATTGTTTTTATTCATTTTACTGTGTCTGAAAAAGACATGATTCGACCTTGAAACGTTACTGTATTATAAAATAAGGAAACGAAGAGATATTGATAGATTTTCATTAACATTAATGATCTTCCTAACAAGAATATAATAAATGTAAAGATTCCAAAAATTATGGGAGTTTACATCTTCACATTTCTCTCCTACTTTTTCGTGCTCACATCATATTAGCTGCCTATGCAACCGAGAAAGATTGTTGTAAGAATTCACTGTACCTACTAATTGTCAGTGAAACTCGATATTTCAAAGTTGTTTATAACATATTTGCAAAATATATCACATCGGCTTCATACTTTGGACTTTGTTTTCATGCTATTTCATTAATCAAGTAGCTAGAATATTGATCACTTAATCATCGAGAAAAAATCATCATTCACACTTCACCTGACAGAAAACGTAGTAGTTACGAAGAAAAAACAATATCCGTAGAATATTGAAAAGGCGAAAATCATTATCGACGCAATTTTTTCACCTCTCTATATGAAAAGAACGTTTGTGCGTGTGCTCTCTAGACCATAAATTACCTATCTTCTGTACATCTCTTCGATATTTATTAAGCATAAAAACGTTTCAATTAGTTGCAATTTCTACAAAGTCAAGCCAGGCAATTTCATCATCGCTTCTTCTATAGAACATTATACACGAGATAGATTTTGAGAGATACACATATTCCGTCAGAAAATTTCCCTTAAACTTTCATTTTTATAAATAGACTACAATAATGTTAACAGAAAATGTCCGTCCAACTCGAACCGCTCATGTTATCAAAAGTACACCTGCACCTCCTCTTGCTATCGGCAACCCTGGTCCACTTGGTCTTGGTGCTTTTGCTCTCACAACTTTCATGCTTTCAGTATTCAACGCTGGTTCAAACTTGATCGACAGTCGTGTTGAAGCTGTAGTACTACCTGTTGCTTTATTCTATGGTGGCATAGCTCAATTCGCAGCCGGAATGTGGGAATATCGCGTCAACAATACATTTGGTGCCACAGCATTTACTAGTT